CTGTGGCATCTGAGACATGGTTTAAGTCGGCATCATGACTTGTTTTGAGGTGTAAATAAGTTCCTTGATTGTTTTCTCTTTCAAGAAGCTGACAGAAACAAGAGAATGTAAATTATTAAGAGCTTAATTTAGCCCAGATAATGTTTATTCTTTACTATTACCTTTTTGAGGTGTGAGATCTTTAAGTATCTATAGTTGATGTTATGATTCCCTTGTTTAGGCGTATTCATTTAAACTTATATCTTTTGATTGCTTTTAATTTTCAATTTTTTTATTAGTTTTATTTGCAATGTGGTAAATTTTAAAAGTGGGAGTTATGCTGTCTTTAGCCATCTGTAGTAAAAAAAAATACAATAAATAGGTTCTAAAGGGGAAACCTTGGCTGGAAATAAAATATTCTTCTTTTGTTGAGAATGCTCCTTTGCTAATGAGAATGAAACTTGGTTGCTTATATGAAGGCCAACCAAGTCTAGCCTTGCAATCTGACAATGCTTAATGATACAGGATTTTATGACAATTATAATGAAGGAAAATTTAGTCACTATAGACATTTGAAATGACTTTTATAGTTACAATTGAGATTTTGATCCTTTAACAAAGGATTTATGACATTTTAATTAGGATAGACTGAATAAGGGTATGTACAACGGACTTATAGAAGTTTTCTATTTCGTTCTAAGCACTAGCATAGGATGAACAAATTCCTACAAAGAACAATTTTAAAAAATTTTATGAGTGCATTTACAAAATTTATCCACCACATAAATACATACTCTTGCTTAATTTAAAATAATGATGCACACTTACATTTTTCTTTATCAGCAATGACAAGAACTTTTTATCCGTGAGTATTTTTTTGCTCTTCTAGCGAAACATCCTTGGTGGCGTATCTTCGAGAAACTCAATCCTTCTCCTACACAGTTTTGGAATGATTTTAGAAATTTCAATTTTCCTAAAATAAATAGTTCAATTTTTTTTATTTATGAAGAATTTATACAAAAATTTATGAGTACAAGTTTTTTCCCTTCTAGTATTAGAAGATTTTGAGGTCTTCCTATTTTAAGTCTTTTGGATTTCCTTTCCAACGTTGGTTTGGAGCCGATATGCTTGCCATATTACTAATTAATATTAAAAGGCCTTCTCATTCTAATTTGAGTTTGTCGATTGCATACCATATGTAGGGTTGTTATGTACAAGTATCATCAAGCCGAGTGGAACCGAGTATGTCCTAGATTGAATTTGGCTTGATAATATTATAAGTTTTTTTATGTTTGATTCAAGCTCTTAAGCCAAGCTTTCGTATGTATGTTCATATTTGATTTGTTTAATATTTTAATAATTATATATGCTTGTACTTTACTTGTTTATTTTAATTGGACAATTACATCAGCTAGTTAATAAACAAGATAAAAATTTAAATGAGTATTTGACTTTTTATATAAATTTATTAAAAAAATATTTTTTATACATCTAAATAAATAAGCAATAGAATAAATTTTGAATTAGTATTCAAGTAATTTTCTTGTAATCAAATAATATAAATAAATCCTAACAAATTAGTTCATTGAAATAATTAAATAAGTTATTGCATTAGATTAATATGAATATTGAAATTAAATTATTATATGTTACTATTAAATTTATAATTAAATAATATTTAGTTTATCAAATTTTATTTAAATAATATCTCATGTAAGTATAATTCATTTAAGAAGTTATTTAATGAACACTAAATGAGCTTTTTCGTGAACATAATTAAATAAGTTAAACCTCTTTATGTTTAGTTTATTTAATCTTCGAGTTCTTAAAAATGTTCAAACTTGTTTATTTATTAATTTGAACAAACATGATCAAGCATTAATTGAGACATGTTCCAATAGTTCATCAAGTGCATTGGTTCATTCACAACCCTTACAAAATGGCTGCTACTTCAACCTTTTGAAGAACCGAGTCTCTTGCTTGAACTTGTTTATCATGAACATTCATATTATAATACTTTACAATCTCTCCTTATATTCTAACACAGTTCTGTGGTGATCTAGTTATAGTAATTTAACTTTTTGAAAATTTACGTCACCTAAAAATTTCTCTCATGAGTGTTCACATTATAATACTTCGTAACTTGCCTTCGAATTTGTTCAGAAACATGTTGAACCAGTTGCGTAAGGTGTTCCTCCATATTCTGCAACTGTTCGTAGGTGAAGTTGTCATTGTAATGTTTATTTTGTGGAGTTCAATTTCTAGAGTTTGGCGGACATGTGATCTGGCTACTAGTTCTAACCACTTCCCCTCTCACCAAATCAAAATTATTTAGCAAGAAATTTGTTGAACCCATTTATAGAGTATGAAATTAACTTAAAAATTGAGAAGAGTGAAAAGAGGAATCTAATCTTAATTGATGAACTTTAATTATAGAGAGTTTAATCAACTCCTTTCACTCAAATGGGTGAATCAAACCAGACGAGATAGGTTTCACTTCGAGAAGAAGGCTAAAATTCTAGAGTTTAGATTTGAATTTTGGTTCAAAGTCCAAGATCCACGGTTCATTTCTATATGCCTGAAACCTAGCCTTTCATTTTTAGCATCTTAACACAACATATTGTTGAATAATCATAATAAATGCTATTGTGAACTATATTGTGATTCAGAAGGCTACTCCTTTCGTTCTTGGAAATAATTTGAAGAAATAACTTGAAGAGTTCTTTGCTATGGAACTAATATTACTGCCATGTTTATGGTTGGTTTGCAATGCTATCGTTCTTGGAAAGAACACTTCAAGTCTTTTCATGAGGTGGTTGAAGGCTCACTGCGTTATGCAACATTGTTGGTTAACATGCTGCATGCGAGCCATAATTGTTAGTAAGGATCATACTCAGGCTTGAAGTGTTTGTTGGAAGCCAATATTGACACTTCATCACTAAGTTTATTTATCTACATTGAAATTCCCTTTTGTCATCTGCGCCAATTTTGTTTCATGGATATAAACGTTTTCAAAACTTGAATATGTCAAAACCAATTTCTTTATGGGCTTAACTTGTAAGAAGTGGCCTTTTCAATCTATTTCTCGTAAATGAATTAATTATAAACGTTGGTGGTGGCTTCATCTAATTCAATTTTATGTAAATTTTCATCCATGCACTAATCATCTTTTAGGTTTCTGACCACTTTTTGGAACATTGAATCCATAGTCATCAACAGCTGGTTCGGGAATATTGGTTCTGGTAAAATATCAATTTTTTAAATTTCCTAATACTAATTTGCGGAGTCAAACTGCTGTATATATTCATTTCTCCTCATTCTTTTAGATATATCAGGTCTAACAATTTTGTACATGACATGGTGAAATCATGACTTGATTGTCAGTTTATATCTTTCTCCCACTCAATTTCCATGCCACATCAATCATTCTTTTGGCCCTCAAGTGGGTCTGGAGTTGGAGTCTTATCTTGGATTTTGGGTTCGATTATCTTCTGGTGGTGCTATTTACAACTTATACTTTGGATATCTTACATCCCTTATTATTGCATGTTGCAATATTTTATTACCACTTTTTTGTATCTATAGGAGAGCTTCGGTTGGATTTTCTTCCAACACAATTAGGTTTTTGGTGGCAGTAGTGACTGATTCTTTTGCTAATTTTTTGTTTATGATTGATATATAATAAACTATATTGAGCATTCTAATTATAAATAAAGAGATTCAGGCATGTACAAAATTGAGATTCAGGCAGTAATGACTCCTAAGTATGGCAGTAATATTTATAAATAGCTTTTGAAACATTTAAGTTTCTGTTATCAACGATGTGAATGGTATATTTGCTATACTTATATCTGAAAAGATATGTTTGTTGTATACTTCAGTGTGCACATGTAATGGCTATGGCAGTTCAGAAAATATTCCCAAATTCCAAGGTTACAATTGGTCCTTGGATAGACAATGGATTCTATTATGACTTTGACATGGAGCCTTTAACTGATAGGGATTTGAAGAGAATAAAAATGGAAATGGTAAGAATAGTGTGAATCATGGTTTGAAGGCCACTTAATTTTTTAATTGGGATTTGCTTATCATTTCAGGGCACGGAATTTATTTCTTGCATCATCTGTAGGATCGGATCATTAAGCGCAATCTACCTTTACGGAAAGAAGATGTTTCCAGAGAAGAAGCTAAAAACAGAATATCAGCAATCAATGAGCCTTACAAACTGGAGATCTTGGAAAGCATCAAGCAAGATTCTATTACTATTTATCATATAGGTTTGATAAGCTATTTTATTTATAATCAAAAGTGTCAAAATAGCTCAAAGATTCTTTGCAGGGGGGGCATTTTAGTCCCATAGTCTCTCGAAGTGTCAATTTAGTCCTTAGATTTTTTTAATATGGGCTGAAATAATTCCTACGGAGGACTAATTAGGAGAACTATTTCAACCCCAATTTAAAATATCTGGGAACTAATTTGACATTGTTATAGACTCCGGGAGTAATATAAATAGTCGGGGAACTTGTTTGACACTTTTTATTTTTGTTTCTTTTCATTTCTTTATCTATCAGTCAAATCTTTGCTCATTAAGATCTACTGAAAACAGGAGATGAGTGGTGGGACCTTTTTGCCGGCCCCCATGTTGACTCTACTGGACATATTAATGCAAAGGCGGTTGAACTTGAATCAGTTGCTGGCGCCTATTGGAGGGGAGATGAAAATAGGCAAATGCTGCAAAGGATATATGGTACAGCATGGGAGACTGAGGAGCAGCTAAAAGCATACCTTAAATTTAAAGAGGAAGCGAAGCGGCGTGATCATAGGCGTTTGGGCCAGGATCTTGATCTTTTTTCTATTCAGGTCTTCTTCTTAATTTTAGAATTCTTATACTGTCAATTTTTCTAACCAAATAGCCTTATGTGTTCTCATAAATTATGGTTATAAATATTTGGTTCTTTCTCACATGAATGGGTTGCAAATTCCAGTATCATGTAAACTTGACTAATTAAACAAGTTTACTTGAAAGGTTTATAAATATTACTGCCATAGTTGGGAGTCAATACTATGGAACTAATTTGACAGATCTGCTCTTTTTAATATTTTAATCGGTTATATTTTTCTATGCCATGTTCATTCATCTTAATACTAATTGTTGAAAGCTAACCTTTAAACGCTTGGCAAGCATCATTGTATTTCTAGCTTCATGTTGTTGAAAAAATGACCTTCCAGTTAAGATCTTGCATTGTGTAATAATGTTAGTATTTATGATATCCTGCCAAAATATTTTTTTATTTGGATGAATGTTCTTTCTAGTTTAGTTATTTATTACCTCTGAGAGGCAGATGCTGGTGGTGGCCTGGTGTTCTGGCATCCTAAAGGTGCCATGGTTAGGCACATCATTGAAGATTCATGGAAGAAAATTCATTTACAACATGGTTATGAACTTCTCTATACTCCTCATGTTGCGAAGGCAGATCTCTGGAAAATTAGTGGGCATTTAGATTTCTACAAGGAAAATATGTATGATCAGATGAATATTGAAGATGAACTCTATCAGCTTCGGCCCATGAATTGTCCTTACCACATTTTAGTTTATAAGCATAAGCTGCATTCATATAGGGAGTTTCCGATCAGATTGGCAGAGTTGGGAACAGTATACCGTTATGAACTCTCCGGTAGCTTGCATGGCCTCTTTCGTGTGAGAGGGTTCACCCAGGTTTGTCTTTCTCATGATTTCTGTGTATGATGGATCTAATATAGGAAAATATGGATTATTTTTAATTTTGATGTGAAATATGGTCATTTGTCAGTTTGTAAAGCCTTATCTTGTAGCATGTTCTATTATAATTAAGGTCCAATGATCATGTAATATGTGGACTATAAAATTGTGATTATTTAAATGAATTTGATGCTTTGCATGGCTTCTTCCTCTTAAAATTTGTTTCAAGTGCCTCCATCTTGGCTGTGCGAGATTTGTTTCTCTCTCTTCTATCTTCAATCATTTCAAAGCTTCCAGAAGTCTTCATTGTATCTCTCTCTCTCTCTCTCTCTACAGAAGATCCATGTTGTATTTATTGTTTATTATTGTTTATTATTGTTTGACGGCTCGTCATGTTAATAAATCTTTTACACAGCTTCCGTAATGAACTGACAATATTCTGCTCATGCAGGATGATGCACATATATTTTGTTTGGAGGAACAAATCAAAGATGAAATCAGGGATGTACTTGATTTGACAGAAGAGATATTGCTTCAATTTGGCTTTAGAAAATATGAAATAAACCTGTCAACTAGGCCACAGAAGTTTGTTGGCAGTGATGAGATATGGGAGAAAGCAACTAAAGCACTGAGAGATGCTTTGAGCGATAAAGGTTGGGACTACCAAGTAGATGAAGGTGGTGGCGCATTTTATGGTCCAAAGGTCGATCTCAAAATTGAAGATGCACTTGGGAGAAAATGGCAATGTTCCACTGTTCAGGTCAATCATGCAAAATTTTCTACATGTTATTTCATGAACACATTCTTAGAGATCAAAGCTTTCTTTTTTTTTAATCAAAATATCATTTTGATAGTAAGTAAAATTTACTGAGGAGCTTTTCTGTGTGACTTTTGCAGGTTGATTTTAACTTGCCTCAGCGCTTTGACATTACTTATGTAGATTCCGATGCTCAAAAAAGACGACCTATCTTGATCCATAGAGCTATTCTTGGGTCCTTGGAGCGGTTCTTTGGCGTCCTTATTGAACATTATGCTGGCGTTTTTCCACTCTGGATCTCTCCTATCCAAGCTCGACTTTTACCTGTCACCGATTCTGAGGTATGATCTAAGCATGTATCGTTTGGTTTCTTTGTTAATAATTAAAGTATCTTGGCATTACAATTTACCATGTAGATTCTGAGCCTTTTTTTATTAAAATAATTAACCTAAACCGGAGCATGGGACTAGGAATGCAGGCCTTTTGCGAGTGAATGGTTTAAGAAGTGTGCATAATGTCAAATAAGTAATGGGGCACTTACATACCACCCAACACCTAAACTTTTGATTTTTACATTTACATCATGCAAATCTTTCATATCACATCAAAAATATCAATATTTTAACTTCTAGAAAGTGAAATACATCTTTTCATGCATAAGTAAGGTAGCACATATGGAAAAATTGAAGTTTAGATGTTAGTTATTGTTATAAGTTATATTAGAAAATTATTTATTCATTAGAAGTTATAAGGATTAGATTTATTTCCTAATATAATTTTATTCTCTTTCCTATTTTATATTTAATTCCTTGGATTAAAAGTTATTTCCTTTTCTATTTTATGTTATTTCCTTTATCTCCAAATATTTAATATGAATTAATATGAATTGATTAATTGGAAATATTAGGTGATATATCTTTCCTTTCATATTATTTCTTTTTTATTATTTTTCCTATTTAAGGATTCATGTAATGGTTATTTATACCTCATCTCATATCAATGAAATAAATTTTCTTTAATTCTGCATTATTCTGAATTTCAACATAGTATGAGAGCCTAAATTCTAACCCTAGCCTCCATTCCTTCTTCCAGAACCACCAGACTTCCTTCCTTCCATCCTCCGTGCAGGAGAGGGACAGTCATCTTGGTATTTGAAACAACAAAATTTTCTTCTCCCTGTAGGGCCTGCATTTTTTCCTAGCAGTCGTCCCCTCTAGCTATTTTTCCCAACCACTGGCCTGCTCTGCAGCCGGCTAGCCCTTCTCGATTTTCAACACAACCGCCGGTCTTCCCTGCAAGTAGCTACCGAACTTCCCTGCAAGCACAACCGACGGTCTTCTCCGCCTGTTTTTTGTAGATCCTTCCCACTGTTTTTTGAAGCATGCTCTCTGCAGCAGTCCGGCTTCCGACTTCCCTGATTTCCTCTGCTTGTCCAAATTTTTAGTAGTCGGCTTCCCAGTTTCCAGCAATTTGACTTTCTTGATTTTCTGCAATTCGTGGAGGAGGGAGTGGTTCTGGCCTTGGTTCCCTTCTCCTTGAGAGATTATATGTCGGTTATGACAAAAAATCAAAGCTTGGTTTTACTGTTTACCCATCGCCCTAGGTGTCCACATCAGTTGTTGAGCCTTACAGTAGTGTCCTCTCCACACACTCCCTTCTAAAGCACACCGATGTTGCCATTCTCCTAGATAATGAAGCTATTTATGACATTTGCAGGCATTCTCTTGACATTATTGAGCGCACTACATACACCAACTTTAATCGGCTGGCTTCCCAGGTGATTTCATCCTTCACTGCCTCCCTTAGGTTTGATGTCGCACTGAACATGGATGTGACCAAGTTTCAGTCTAACCTTGTTCCATACCCACGGATCCACTTCATGCTTTCATGCTACACTTTATTATCTCAACTGACGAAGCATATCACGAGCAACTCTCTGGTGTCGAAATCACCAACAGTGCCTTTAAGCCATCCTCCATGACGACCAAATGTGATCCCCACTATGGCAAGTACATGGTTTGTCGTCTCATGTATTAAAGAGATGTGGTGCCCAAGGATGTGAATGCTACTATTGTCACCATTAAGACCAAGCACGCCATCCAATTACGCCATCTAGTTTGTTAACTGCTACTTGGCTGGCTTTAAGTGTGGCACTAATTACCAGTCGCCTACTGTTGTTCCTGGTGGCAACCTCGCCAAGGTGCAGAGAGCGATTTGCTTGATATCTAACTCCACTAACTTTGAAGAGTTGTTCTTTCGCATCGATCATAAGCTTGATCTTATGTATTTAAAGCGTGCCTTTGTGCATTGGTATGGTGGTGAGGGCTCCATCGTTTTTTTCCTATTGCCCAAAAAACTTCACGTAGCTCCTTTCCTGCTACCTGAACTCTACAACCGGAAGTATCCTGTTACATGCCCTCTTCAGTGCAAAGTCTTTTCCTCCAGAGATTTTCCCTTGCAGGATGACCTTCTCTGGAGCGTTTCTTGCATTAGGCCCTCATCTAAACTTTTTCCTACATCAGGCCCTATTTCGGAATCCTTCCTGCAGCGGACCCTCATTCTCCTTTAGAGTTTTTCCTTTTTCTGCAAGTCATATATTGCAGCTTTTTCTGTTAGTTGTCTACTTTCCTGCAAACTTCCTTGCAAACTTCCCTGCAGCATTACCCGTAGGAGTCTTCTGCTTAACTACATACACTGCAGGAATTGCAATGAAAGACAATCACAATTGTCCACTTTCCTGGAAATTTCTCTATAACATTACTTATAAGAGTCTTCCGTCTACCTCCAGACATTGCAGGAGTTGCAGATAAAGTAAATCACAGTTGTTTACTTCCCTGCAAACTCTCTTGTAGTATTACCTGTAGGTGTCTTCCGTCTCCTACACACTGCAGAAACTGCAGTCAAAGACAACCTGTAACATTACCTGTAGGAGCCTTCTGTTTAACTATATGCACTGCAGGAATTGCAATGAAAGACAATCACAATTGCCCACTTTCCTGCAAATTTCTCTATAAGATTACTTGTAAGAGTCTTCCGTCTATCTACAGACATTGTAGGAGTTGTAGACAAAGTCAATCACAGTTGTTTACTTCCCCGGAAACTCTCCTACAACATTAGCTGTAGGTGTATTCCGTCTACCTACACACTGCAGAAACTACAGTCAAAGAAAACCGCAGTTAACTAGAAGTTAGTTTTTTCTGCATGCTGTCTATTTCTCTGCAAATTCCTCTGCAACATTACCTGTAGTAATCTTCTGCCTACTTACAGACACTACAGGAACTGTGGTGAAAGGCAACTGCAGTATGGGATGAAGATTTCAAGTTTTTTCTCACAGGATTTTCGTCGCTCATTGTTTATGATTTCAGATCTAAGTTGAGTATAGTTTTCAACCATGTTTCAACTTGAGGGGGGTATTAGAAGTTATATTAGGAAATAATTTATTCATACTAAAAGTTATGAGAATTAAATTTAATTTCTAATATAATTTTATTTTTTTTCTATTTTAAATTTATTTCACTGGATTAGGAGTTATTTTCTTTCTTATTTTAGACTTTTCTATTTTATGTTATTTCCTTTTTCACCAAATAATTAATATGAATCTCTTAATTAGAGATATTAGGTGAAATATTTTTCTTTTCATATTTTTTTCTTTTTTATCATCTTTCTTATCTTAGGATTTATGTAAGAGTTATTTATACTCTCTCTCGTATCAATAAAATAAATTATGCTTAATTTCGCATTATTCTGAATTTCAACAAATATGTAAATACATTAGAATTGAGTGGTATGCATGTAAATCTTCATTAATTTGAGCATTTATATAGATACCACCTAAATTCCTATGTATATTCATGTCTAACATCTAAAGTTTACTTTTCACATTTATAACACTTGAAATTTTCATATTACATTAAAAATATCAATATTTTAACTATAAAAAGTGAAATAGGCCTTTTCATAAACAAGCAAGATGGTATCTATGTAAAAATTGAATTTTAAGTGTTGGATACGTAAATACGTAGGAATTAAGTGGTATGTATGTAAATCTTCCTATATATTTTTTGCGTCCAAGTTTTGTTAGTAAAAAATGGAACCAACATTTTCGGTAGGTTGTTCAAGCGACGCTTTCTGCTCCTTTTTCTATCCTGGATGCATTTGATTAATAACTCATTTACCATCAGTGCTTTTGACATGAATTAATAAATTTACAGGCAACATTTAGGAAAGAAGACTCAATGTGAAAACCTTTTGTTTGTATATATTTCAGGTGAACTACTGCAAGGAGATCGTTTCTTCTTTGAAATCAGCCGGCATTCGCGCCGAGCTTTTGCATGGCGAGCGCCTACCAAAGCTAATAAGGAATGCAGAGAAGCAAAAAATTCCTCTGATGGCAGTAGTTGGACCAAAGGAAGTTGAGAGCCGGACTGTAACTGTGAGGTCGCGTTATGGTGGCGAGCTGGGAACTATGACTGTTGATGAGTTCATTAATGGTGTCACGTCCGCTGTTGAGAAGAAGACCTCTTGGTAGAGAAGCCTGATCGTACTTTCAGAAGTTCTGAAGATAAATAAACGAGTTCATAAACCCAGTGCATGTTCTGTCTGAAAAATATCGAAGTTCCTTGTGAATTCTATCCTCCTTTAATCTTCTTCTTATGTTTATTTCTTTGTTAAATTGGAATATATTTGAATATCTGTTTAGTTATGTCTGTATTCGTCTGATGGAACTTATATAAACACTCTTTATTTATGAAGCATATGCTTAATTTTAGGAATAAGAGGATCGAGAAATTAATTAGAAAATATAATATTATGCATAGATTCTCTACTGCTTATCATCCCCAAACTAGTGGTCTAGCAGAAACATCAAATCGTGAAATAATTAGAATTTTAGAAAAAGTTGTAAATCCTTATAAATTGGATTGGTCTGCTATATTAGATATTGTACTATGGGCATATAAAACTGCCTATAAGACTCTTATTAGAATGTCCCCATATAAAATTATTTTTGGTAAAACATGTCACTTACTAGTAGAGTTGGAACATAAGGCATTTTGGGCTATTAAGAAATTTAATTTTAATCTAAAGGATGCCGGTGAGAAAAGATTAATGAAACTCAATGAACTAAAGGAGATTAGAAATGAAGCATTTGATAATGCAAAGATCTATAAAGAGAAAATGAAAATATGACATGATCAGAAGATTATAAGAAAGAAATTTAAACATGTACAAGAAGTTCTATTTTATAATACTAGATTGAGATTATTTCCAGGAAAACTGAAATCTAGATGGTTAGGATCATTCAATGTTATCAAAGTCTACCATTATGGAACTCTTATTGTTAAAGATCCTAAAACTAGAAAGATATTTAAAGTTAATGGGCATCGATTGAAACATTATTATGAAGGGTGCATGCCATAATTTAAAGAAATTTTGAGGTTGAGTCATCTTTAATAAACATTGGTACGTCGGGCTGATGACATTAAACCAAGTGCTTTGTGGGAGGCAACCAATAAATATATATATATATATATATTAGTATTTTAAAAAAATCTAATTAACTACAAGGCTACAAAGATTTATAATCAATTAAAATATTTATTAAGAAAATTGAATAAAAATTATTAAATTAGATTCAAATTTATTAGTAAATTTTTTAAATCTTAAATTTTGGGACCATCAGATCGGATGAATGATCAGATTTTGAAAGGAAAAATCAAAATTTGGGTTATTCAAATTTACACATAGCAAACCCCACTCCAAAAAGAATATTTCTGGCTTCTCAAAACTTTGAAACTATTTAAAATCAAATCTGGGGCCATTGTTGAGGGTTAAAAAGCTAAACCGGGACCTTAAACCTCAAGACGGGCTCTTTGGCCAGGCGTGACCATGCCCAAACGGGCGTGATTACGCCAGGTGTGACCAGCCGTCACACGCATTTGCATGTGATAGCTCCTTTTCCACTTTTAACCCAATTCGTCCCCTTGTTTCTTATGCTTCTTCTTCTCGACACCCACAATGCCGCCTAGGATAAACCCTTGGGAGGCACATATCAACCACAAAACACTCAGATTCGGATACTCCTCCTATCTTAGGTGAGATCTTCAAAGCTTTTATAGTTTTACCATGAGTTTTGGGTTTTCTTTTCCTACACCTTCCTAAATCTTCCACCCACAATGCCGCCTAGGATGAGAGGAAGGGGAATCACCTATTATGATGATAGAAAATTTGTGAGTTTAGCAGCCTCCCAAAGATATTCTGTTCCTATTTTGAGGAAGAGGCTAATTCCTGAAAGAATTTTCTAAACACGGGTCTGAGATTTAGGCTATGATAGTGAGCTAGGGGTGGCGTAGATTTTGTGCCATGTAGCTCCTGTCGTCATCCCTACAGTTCAAGAGATTTATGCAATGTCAACAAGTCTGTTAACGCGCAAGTTTTCGAGCAGGATCAGGTTCCTTTTGATCCAACTACCATTAATCTCCTATTCTGCCTCAACGACATTCCCAAAAGCGAATATTCAGAGTTTGATCTCCAGATTATGGACGATGTGGAGATGGTGAAGCAGGACGACGACTAGGGGAGGTCTGATGGGTGCTTTTGTTTAATGTTTCTGACATTTTTTCATTGTATTTTGAACTACTCATTTGTTGTATGATGATGCCTGGACTATGTATAGATTTATTACTTGCATTTCTGAATTTTTAATATACTATTATTTACATTTCTTGACTGCACTTGACTATGTAGTATTTTTTTTTTTGGACTATGTATTGTGGTGATATGGTAGCACTTTCCGTGCTTTTCCTTTCATTATGCTCGAGAAATATTGTTGTTTATACAGATCAAACTGAGAGTTTCAAAATTATTTTGGATGCAAATGCTCATTAAAAAGGAAAATTAATGTTATTTTTGAATTAACCAATTTTTTACTTTAACAAACTGCTTTCCTAAGTTTAGTAAAATCTCTAAATAGTTAAAAGTGTACAATTAAATATTTATGCTAGTTGAAAATATTTTAAAACTCTTAAATTGATAACCCGAACCTTCACATGAAACATAATACATCAATAAATTTTATTAAAAAAAATTCACAAATCATCAAAATTCACAAGGAAGATTGTGCATTCAAAGCCTTAAAAAGAATTGTGCTCCACCCGATATAATAATTCTTAGTTAGATGTAGCAAAGAGAAATAATATATATATATATATATATATAGTTAGATGTAGCAAAGAGAAATTATATATATATATATATATATATATATTAAAGGAAATCGATATTTGACATAGGCCCAAATACCGATTTCCCAGACCCTAGGCCCCATGATGAGAGCCCGCGCCAAGTGCCTAAATTTTCGAGAACCCAACGCCACTTGGGATCCAACCCATGACCTGAGTGGACTTACAGTGTACCCCACCAACCAGCAGACCACGACTTACGACACACACACACGCGCGCACACACACACACACACACACACACACACACACACACAGATAGCTCGTGGCTCCTTAAGCGTTAATAAAGTAAAAGTGGGTACAAAATAAGGAGGGATAGTGGATCCTCAACTAAAAAGCAAAATAAAATACAATATTCTCCTAGGGTTTCCACTATCCCATTACAACTCCACTCAAAAAAATCAAAATATACTTGTAACCCCTTAAAATGTATACAAAAAAGAAGAGTATACCAAAAATTAACATATAAACCAAAACTTATGACTGTCATAGTGTGGGGGAACATGATCATAGCAAGGAGAATAATATCCAGTGTGATCAGCAACAATCGCAACCCCAATATGCCAATATTGTAGAGAAATCCTGCCACGACAACTTGAGGCTACAACAGACAAAGCTTATCAAACCAATTAGAGTGGTAGTAAGAAAAAAGGTTTGGGATATAGGAGTCATTAAGAGTCCTGTGAGAACAGAAAAAATACTTCCATAATCCATAGCAATCCTATAGAGTAGATATAATCTGCATCCAAATACTAAAGGCCTAATGCAGATGAAGCAAAGAGTAATCAACAGGAAGAAAGTTTTGGGGCCAACCAACAAAACACATTCTATTAGCTTCATCACTAATATCCTGATCCACAAATAAGTCCCAAACAACTAATCCCAAATACAGTATTATGCCAAGCAACGAAATTCTGTGTCAAAACATCTTCCAGCTGTCGGCACTATTTTTGGTGTGGGGTTTGCCTGTAAGAAGCTGTCGGTCATCGGAATTGAAATCCCGTTGCCCGCTTAGGAAGGACATTTTAAAAATTTTAATTTTTGAAAAAAGATGAAGTCCCCATAATTTTCTTAGTTTAGATGAAAGAGTGCTTTATCTCAAATCATGTATCTATCCCGAAGGATGAACGTAAGAAGTGAGGCTCGATCAAAAAATCTAGAGAAAGTTATGACATCCGTTTGGTCTACGAAAACCAACATACTGGCCGACAAATTCCCTATTTAATATAAGGAATTA